CCCCCCACTCCCCGCCTTCCCCGTCCCCAGCTGGAGATGCCTGCACCCTCCCTCCTCGAGTCCCTGCTGGGCAGGAAGCGGGTGGTTGCAGTGCGGAGCTGGGGTGAAGGTTTGGGAGAGGGAAAAAAGAAATTTTTATTTTTGAACCCCTGTGTCTCTTTTGCTTAAGATTAAAGGAAGGAAAAATAAAGCACGTGTCTTTTGCCTGAGTCTTTGGGGTCCCCGTGGGAAAGAGATCTCGAGGCTCACCAGCCTCCTTCCCTCCAGCCTTGGCTGGACTCGCGGGGAAGTGGGACAGGCACGGTCTCCGTTTTCCATTCATAACACAGCAATGAGATGGATGGGGCAGGAAGAGGGGCTATGGAAACTCAAAAGTCCTGAATCCAGGTGGAAGCCTCCACTGCAGCCCTAGGAGTCTGGACACCCAACTGAGGCTCTGGCGACCTTCCCGCCCTTGGGTGGGCCCTGGGGGAGGAGGGGTGGAGCCCGTGTCTCTTTCTCTCACCTTCAGATGACACTGCAGAGGAAGAAAGGGAGCAGGGAAACAGTGGATTTGGGGTCCTCTGGTCCCTGAAGTCAAGGAGAGCTCCCTTGCCCAGGGGGAGACATCTACTCAGCCCCCTAGGAAAAGGAGTGGGGCTGTTGTGACCTCTCAGAATCCAGGCCTGCTCGCCGATGGGCCTGAGGAGCTGTCTGGCCCCAGAATAGCACGTGTTGACCAATGTGGAGGGACTAGGGAACGAGGCACAGATGTGGGTCTGAAGTACCGTTCTGTGTGAGAGCTCTGCCCGCTTGGTTCTGTTGGCCCCTTCAGCCCCGGCCAATTCCAGGGGGTTTCTCACTTTGCGGGGGAGCCATGGGGGAAGGAGTGCACAGTGCTTTCAGACCCACTGTCCACACACGGCCCCATTGGCCGCATGTTTCACGGTGCCACCCCTCTTCTGTGGCATCTGACCCCTTCCTGCCATGGAGGAGGGGACCGGAGGCAGATTTGCCTGGTCCACCTCCCTCCTGACCGTCCATTTAGCATCTCAGGAGAGGCAGAGGGATACCTGGGGCCCGGACCAGGGGTGAGATGAACTTCGCTCCTTGAAGAAAAGCAGGTCCCCCCAAGCAGACATCCTCATTCAGAGTATCTAGGCTGGGCCAGTAGCTAGTGGCTGGCCGCTCCGGAAGTGCATTAATTCAGTTAATCATCATGAATCCACAAATGAGGTGCTATTATTAGCTCCACTTCATAGATGAGGAAATGATCCCTGGAAGTGCCCCACCTCCACCGCCCAGGGCTGGGGCCCCTAACTCCAGAGAGGGGATGCTGCTCAGCCCTGAGTTACACTGCCCCCTGTGGGCGGAAGCAGGGCGGATGCTCGGGGAGAGCCTGGAGGGCTTCGGGCGCTGGTTGGATCTGCAGCCGTGGGTGTCCAGCCTGTGGGTCCCCCGTCCCTACACGAATTTTCTTTCGTCTACTGATGGGTATTCCCACCACCCCTCTCCCATCCCCTCAGCTGTAGTCGGCAGCCGGTGGCTGCTGTCCTGGGTGGGGCAGCCGTGCTGGCTTTCCCAGCAAGGGCAGTGATTTTCAACTTGGCTAACATTTGAATTGACTGGGGCACTAAAAAATACTTTCATGCTGACGCTGATGCCCCACCATCAGGAATTCTGATCTGACTGGTCTGGAGTGGACTGCAGGCGTTATTTCCTTTTTTTTCCCCTAACATTAATTGATTGATTAAGGTTCTAGTGCAAAGCCAAGGAGTAAGGCAATGAATACTGAAGTCGGAACACCTGGGTTTGAATTCTGTCCCTTACTATTCCATTGCCCTGGAGGTACATTACTCGCCGCTGAGCCTCAGTTTTCCTCATCTGTTTAATGGGGATGATTTCAGCCTCAACAGTGTTGATATCTAATATCACCCAATTTATAACAGGGTGGTTATTAATGTGAGACAATAGATGTGAATATGCTTTGAGAACTACAGGAGTGTACCAAATGAAAGGGGTTATTATCATGGGGCCACTGCTGGGGTCAGCCCTCATGCCAACCCCCATGCCCCAAGGTTGCTAACTCACTTGGGTCCTTTCTGTAATATTTTTGCAGCGTACTCCTGAGGATGCCACAGTCTCCCTGCCCATTTCCATGTCACTTGCCTGCAGCCTCCTTGTACTCTAAACCCTCTGAAGAGGTGGATTTTATGGGTTTGTGAGCAGTACTACTGCTGTGGCTCTAGCTACAGGAACCGCACTGACTGATGTATACTGTGACCTAGAAACCTTTTCTGAGGCAAAGCTTAATTGCATCCATGTGGGATGATGGTTGGCTGGGCAGGGATCTTGAAGATGTCAAGCTGATTGCTCACCTTCTGGAACTGTTTAAATTTTAGTTTAGGACGGGCCGTTGACAAACACTGCGGCTATACTGCCACTGTGTGGCAGCATGGGAAACTGAGTTTACACTGTCTTAAAGCATCATTTGCTTAAGAGGTGGTCCAGGAGTCCAGAATGGGTCAACTGGGGATGCTTGTTGAACTTGCGAACCACGGGACCTAGCCTAGGTTGCCTGTTCTTATGCCCTCCGAATGTGGAGAATCACCGCTGTAGCAACTGCATTTGTCAGATGTGTCTGGAATACTAGCTACATGTGATGGGATAGTTGAGAGCATGGGCTTGGAGGTAAGGCAGTCTTGGAACAGAATTTGGAGGCTGCTACTTATGACATGTGACTCTGGACACATTTCTCACTTCTGAACCTCATTTGTTTTCATCCTTAAATCTTGAGATAATTTCTCTCTCAAAGAATTGCTTTGAGAATATAAACTCATTTCTGTCGTATGATAAGTGCTGCCTACGGGCAGTTAGTATTGTATCCTGGGCTCAGTGTTAGGGTTTTAGGATATGAAGGTGAAAAAGATTATGGTCCCTGTCCTGAAGGGGCTGACATTCTAGTAAAGGGAAGCAGCCATATAACGGAGGTATGCCTGGTGCAATTAGGAGAACAATCGTCTCAGGAGGCATGTAAGGACAGAACTGTAAGGAGGAAATAGGAATTTGGGGAAAGGCGTGGTTGTGTGTGTGTGTGTGTGTGTGTGTGTGCGCGCGCGCGCGCGCGCGCACGCAAGTGTGGTGGAGCTCAGACAGAGGGGCCAGCATGAGCTACACAATGAACGTGGAGACCTGCCGATGGCTGAGGTTGCCTATGGTATGGGAGGTGCGGGGCAAGGAGGGCCCACAAGGAAGGACCCTGGGTGTCTTGATGAAGGATTTTAAGACCGAATGCTCTCAAGAGTCAAGGAAGGAATTTAGGCAGAGGATGACATGACTGGATCTGTGTTTTGGAAAGTGAACTCTGACTGCAATGTCTATCATGGAGGACACGGGTGGGGATGGAAGGTCCCGGCAGGAAGAAACTGTAGTGATCCAGGTGAGAAGTGAGCGTGGCCTGAACCGGGCAGGGCAGGCGCTGAGAACGGTCAGATCGGAGAGCTGTCAACGAGGTAGCTTATTCCTGAGATCCGGGGACTTATTAGATGTTGGCGGTAAAGGAGGGCTGGGTTTGGCAATTGGGTAGATGCCATTCTCTGAGAGAGCAAAGGGAGGAGAGAGATGGAGAGGGGAGATGAAGAGGGGAGAGTTTAAGAGGGAAGATGAGTTCAAATTTTGTTCGTGGTTTTGAACTGGTGCTTTTAAGGTATAAAGTGAAATAAGACAGGTGAAGTGTCTGAGCTTACAGTACGAGTTCAGTTTTGGACACGTTGAACTTGAGTTGTCTGGGGGACTTTGAGTGGAGAAGATATCCTCGACTTTCCCCTCATCCCGTTCATGAACAAGTCCCATCAGCTCTAAACGCAAGATACTCTTCCAGACTCTGACAAGTACAGGTTTCTGGTAACTGAGTATACTGCTGAACTGAATGAATAAGTATTCTCAGAACTCTAATGGAAAACTGATGAATTCATAAAAGTGCTAACAAAAGATCAAGATGAAAAAAAATTAATTACATGGGACTGAGTGAACTGATGAGGATGATTATAATTTTTGTGACTTTCTGTTTGAATAAAAAAAAAAATCCGGGCTTCCCTGGTGGCGCAGTGGTTGAGAGTCCGCCTGCCGATGCAGGGGACATGGGTTCGTGCCGCGGTCTGGGAAGATCCCACATGCCGCGGAGCGGCTGGGTCCATGAGCCAGGGCCGCTGAGCCTGCGCTCCACAACGGGAGAGGCCACAACAGTGAGAGGCCCGCGTACCGCAAAAAAAAGAAAATCCCACAAGGACTCAGAGGCAAAAAATATACAAATCAATTTTCACTGCAAATTAAAGGAGCTGTTACAGTGGAGGATTCCTGGACTGAATGCCAATATCATGACATAGTATGAGTGTGTTTCGTGTTTGGTAATTGCAGTCATCGTTGCTTCTGTTGTGGTCATCCATTTACAATGCTTGGTGTCAGTTCACTTATCTCTTGTAAAAAAAAGATACAGGGCTTCCCTGGTGGTGCAGTGGTTGAGAGTCCGCCTGCCGATGCAGGGGACACGGGTTCGTGCCCCGGTCCGGGAAGATCCCACATGCCGCAGAGTGGCTGGGCCCGTGAGCCATGGCCGCTGAGCCTGCATGTCCGGAACCTGTGCTCCGCAATGGGAGAGGCCACAACAGTGAGAGGCCCGCGCACCGCAAAAAAAAAAAAAAAAAAAAACAGCGTGGGGGTGTGAAAAAGAAAAAAAAAAAAAAGATACTTTTCCTACCCATCCCCTTCTCTCCCTCTCCTCTGTTGCCTACACAGCAGGAGGCGGGATGGTTGATGGAGGAGATGGGGAAGCACGGGCAGGGAGAGAGAAGGAAGGTGACTGTCCCTTGGAAACAGAGGAGGACTGATGGGGGAGGTGGGAGAGAACATGACGGAGATTGACTCCATAGGGGTTGGGATGAGAAGATAGGACGTTCTCAGAGGCGGGTC